TTTTAATCCCTAAACTTTCCGTTAACTAGCCATGTGACTATAGGAAAATTACCTAACCTCTCTGAGTCAGTTTGTGTATTGTTAACATAGGGGTAGTCACTCCTGCCCCTTAGCTTTGTCATGAGGAAGAAATTTGAAAGCCTGTATGCATTAGTTTACTATAATAAATTGCCACAAACTAAGTGGCTCAATACAACATAAATTTATAACCTAACAGCTCTGGAGGTCAGAAGTCTGAAATGGATCTCACTAGGCTAAAATCTGGATGTTGCAAGGACTGGATTCCTTTGTGGGGGTTCTAGAGAAGACTTTGTCTCCTTGTCTTTTCCGGGGCATGTAGGCCGCCTGCAGTTTTGGGCTGATGGCACCTGCCATCTGGAAGGCAGCAGTGGCTGGTAGGGTCTTTCTCACGTTGCGCTACCCTGTCACTCTCTCTCTTCTACCTCCTTCTTCCATTTGGAAGGATCCTTGTGGTTACACTGGATGTACCCAGGTAATGCAGAATAATCTCATTTCAAGGCCAGGTGGTCAGCAGCCTTAATTCCACCTGCAACCTTAATTCTCTGTTACATGTTGTAGTGGAGATGAGGATGTAACTGTCTTTGGAAGGGGCATTATTCTGCCTCCCATATCATGTAAAGGGCATAGTTTATGCCACCCTTACAGATGGAAGCCCATAAGGTAAAAAATGACTATATGTATTTATATCCCAAAAGGAGTCACGTGCAGATCAAGACAAACACGCTGGCACACTGTCTGAAGGTTTCTACTTCCTGGTCTCCGCTTCCTATTCCTTCTGACTGCAGCTCACTCCCCCACACCTTGCTCACCCTCCAAGGACTTGAGCTAACTGTTCCTTTCTTCATCATGTCTTTGTGAATGACCCCCGCTGGAAGAAGGTAGATTTAAGGTAGCTAAAGGAAATCCATGTGGAAAATAATAAAGTCATGCCAGGAGATGTGCTAACATTACTTACTGAATGTGTGAATGTGGACAAATCTCTTCATCTCTAGAGGGGGGGTTTTCTCATCATTAAGATGGAAATCATAGTAAGAGTATCAAAGGTTTCCTGCAGAGATCAAACGGTATCATGTATGTCCGGTAGGACACGTGGTTTATGGATTTATGACCGGGCAGCAATTTGTGTCAGATAGAAGAGAATTATTAAAGGGGTTTAAGCATTCTATTTAATCAGGGCAGAGCCCAATTTGGCCAATCTAATGGAAACTTATTTCTTTCAACATGTGCCTGTAATGCATCTGAAGTTCAAAATGATGTCTGATTCCTTGAAGTAAGACTCAGCAACATCAAGTGCTTTTAAGGAAAAAGAGCTCAGACAGTGCTTTGGAATTGGTTATAAAAGGTTTTAATGAATGCAGTGAAATGTGATTCCTGTGAGGTGTCGCAGGCAAAAAATTAAAAACATACATTTATCTCCGGATTAGAATGCTCGCTGCCCTTTGCTACTGGATAAGTAGTTGGATATTTCCAGCCTCTTCTCTGGGTAGGCCCTGAGATGGCGCTTTCTCTCGCAGAGGATTTATAGAGGCTGCAACAGGATTGCCTACGTGGAAGTTCCTGGTCCAGACCCCGGTGAGCGGTGCTGAATAAGTCTTGTGCATAACTGTAACTGCTCCAAGCACCGCCTGATAGAAAAGTGATATATTGCCTCTGGCAAGGAGTGACCCATTTTGTGTTCAGAGAAGAAGCCATTAGAATACTAAAACTGGCGGTGGTAGTGATGGGATTTACATATCTTCCTCTGCTGATGAAATTATTGCAATGCTTGGGTCTTTTTATTAAAGAAACACCAGCAGCGGCCTCTTGTTGTATTCGTATCCATCAGCGTTTGCCGATGATTGGCGCATGGGGAGGTGGCCTGCAAATGTGTTCCATTCTGCAGACACGGAGCTTGATTGTGAATGTGGTGGCCGCCCCTCATTGTTTCACTGTTGCTGTTAATGCTCTTGTCACTGTCACTAATTTATGAAGCAACATTTCACATTTTAAAGAGGTTTTATTAAAAATCCAAATTTCTGTCTTCCCTTGAAAACCCCAAAGATCTAGCAATACACAGTCACCCTTTCTACACAGTGGTAATTAGTGACTGCTAAGGAGCAGTGGTCTCCTATAGACAGGGTGGGAAGCTTCCCCTGCCTCAGTCTCCCTCACACAGATAGTTGAGCTGATCTGTGATGGTGCTTCCCCTGTGGATTTCCCGGTGATAGTAAACGGCCTCTCTGTAATGAGCCATGGCTCCCCAAGGACACATAGAGTGAGGGCCTGGGAGCCTTTGGTCACAACATGTTTATCAGCTCATCAATATGTAACCTTGTTTTAGGTGTGTTTCTGTATAAGGCAGTGCCATCTATCTAGCTGTCTTTTTAGGTATCTATTTATTGTCTGTCTATCCATCCATTTATCCAACTATGATCTATCATCTATCCTTCCATTTATCTATCATCTGTCTATCTATTATCTATCTATCTATCTATCTATCTATCTATCTATCTATCTATCTATATCATCTATCTGTCTTTGATCACTAACATTGAACTCATGGCCAGTGGCACTATGCCTCAGGTCTGAGCGCAGCTCATCTAACACACTGTTGTCTCTGCTGGTGTCCTGCATTTAGGGACATGGAACAGCACTTCAGCTCTACACTAGGGGCCATTTTAATTAGCAGAGTCACCAACAAAAAGCACAAAAATACAAAAAATAAAAGGGTACTAAATAGATTGCAGAGGACATGTGTTTACAGCATAAGAACTGGAAACAGAAGGTAGTGTGGTCTTGCCTGAGCTCAGGTGAAACAGGTGCACGGGGGAGTCAGAACTTGCCCGTCTGGGAACACATCTGAGTGACCACGGAGCCCCTGAGCACCGTGTGTGAGGGTGTAGATAACACATTAGCAAGTAGGAGAATCCACATATACAGAATCCGTAAATAATGAGGGTCAACTGCTTGTGATTGGCACATATTTTCTCTCACCATGTAGCCTGTCTTACAATCCTCTTAATGGCACATACTGCAGAACACAAGTGTTTAGCTTCGGTGAAGTCCAGTTTATCAATTTTTCTGTATGTGGATCATTCTTTTGGTGTTAAGAACTCTTCACTTATCCCTAGATTTTAAAGCTTTCTTTTATTTTTCTTCTCGAAGGTTTAATAGTTTTACTTTTTGCATGCAGGTTTATGATCCAGTTTGAATTAATTTTTGTAGAAGGTGTGAGATCTAAGTTGAGTTTTTTGTTTGGTTTTGGTTTGGTTTGGTTTGGTTTTTGCCTATGGATATCCAAGCACTTCAGGACCATTGATTGAGAAGGCTACCTTTTCTCCACTGAATTGCTCTTGAACTTTTGTCAGAAATCCCTTGAGCATCCATGTGCTCTCGTTACTGCTGGGTGGGGGTAGAAACTCAGGCCCCCCACATGGTCTGTACTTTAAAAAGGTGGGATTCTCATCACCATTCATTAGTAGTGAAAATCTGGCTCCCTCCTCAAAGACCTTCTCTTGCCAGATGAGGAAGGTGCCTTGTTAAAGCTTGCCAGTGACATCGAGGCTCCCACTTGGCCTTTGCTGGTATGTGTGGGGGTGAGGTCACATTTTTTGTGTGTAGTGTGGCTGGAGTACAGCTACTCCTGTCTAAAAGTTTTCTATCTCGTGAGGCTGCCCGTTTTCTGGTCCTTTGTCTAGAGAAAGCAGGCATTTTTGTTGGGGATTTTGTTGTGCAGCCAGTAGAATTTCTGGGTGGTTGGTTTCTCTCTGGGATATACGGGGCAAAAAGAAGCGCAGAGAACTCAGCACCATGTCTTTATCTGGACCTTGAGGTCCTTAAACTGTTTGCTTTCTTCTTCATCTGTAAAAATCTGTTGTTTGTTTTCCATATACTGTCTAGAGGTTTTAGTCGTATGTGGTGGGTAGGATGAGGAAAAGTATGTCTACTCCATCTTTCCTGGAAGCAGATGTCATAGGAGGTACTTTCTTTTTTTTTTAATCATCATTTTACAGATACAGAAACAATTCAGAGAAGCTGTGTGGTGTATTCACACCATTTGTGACAGCTCACAAATGATGTCACCCAAACTCCGGCTATGAATCTACCACCAGTGCCCTTTGCTCTACATCTCTTCTGCTTATCACACAACACACACGTACAACAAACACGAGCCTGTCAACAGAATCTTCTATGAGTATATTCACAGTGCAGTGTTGCCGCCAACCATACGCTTGATGAGCCAGTGGAGACTGATGGGTTCATGGTTCATTTTACCTCTATTTCACTTTGTTTTATTCACATCCCATTTCACAATGGACTTGAAATCGGTGGAAGTGGAGAACAGCATGACGCCAGAAATGTTCCTGAGTGCTTGTGAGCAGAAGGGCCATTAATGGCAAAGGCAGGGACCTGGAGAAGGTACTTCTGCACCTGTGGTGGAAGTGGACAGATAGGAAGGTTACTGATAGTGTGGGAACCTGCGCGATGTCCTGAAATGGTGGAATTTGGAAATGGGGGTGATGCATTACACATAAGGATGCAGATATATGCTGGAAGAGTGGTTGGCAGGGCCCCTAAGATTGGCAACCCAGCTGCTGTGTTTCTAAGGGAAGAGTTTGTGTTGCAACATGACAGCGACTCAATTTATGTATGGATTTTGCACCGCGTGTTAAAGCTTCCATTTTCCCATAGAATGGACTTTCTTGACCGAACAAAAGCTATGCCCCTTGAGGTACCTGTGCCATGTGGCCAACCCATCTATCCCTTTCCCTCTCCCTGTTACCACCAACCTTGTATGTGTCTCCCATGATCTCCCTTCAACTCAACTTCCTGTGTCCATCTTGGTCCCATTCTAGCCCTCTCCCACTGTCCCTCCTTGATGCCAAATGGTTGTGCACACTGCCTAGAAACTCCCGTGGTTCCCTTTGGCCTGTACTTATAGAAGAAGCCAACCGTAAGGAGTCTGATCTTCATCAGCCTGTCCTCTGTTCTTTCCTTAGGTATTACCAGATCCGAGTGACCTTGAAGGTGTCCTCAAGGATCCCCCACAGACTGAGCGCCTCCATCGTTGGGCAGACAGGTGAGCAGGAGGATGGCAGTGGGGTGCTTGTTTTCCACTGGTCAACCGTCCTTTATCACTACAGAGCAGTGCACAGCAGAGTGCAACGTACATAGCGACATTCAGTAAACCGCACTGAATTTTGGAAATGGAGGCCCACTCTTGGTGTAGCCATGTGTGCGTATTGTTGCAAGGGGAACCTGGCTGAAGGAAAACACCCTCTCCCCGGGACAAACCTGGCTGTGAAGGGTTGGCTACAGTCAAGTGAGGGAGGAAGACGATGGCAAGTGTCATCCTGTTATCAATCCCGATGATCAGCTAGTTACGAAGGACTGAATAAGTTGGCAGTTGTGGTAGAGCTTCCCAGGTACAAGGGGGACGCGGAATCAACACTCCCACCTTGGGGAGAAGGATGGACAAGGACAGCCCCGGTTCTAACTCAGAGGAGGCTGGGTATTAGTGGGCATCCAGGACTCCCAGCAGGTGTAATAGAGCGTTGTGTCCCAAAACTAGAGCTTATTGCCTAAGAAGTAAGGATAGGCATCAAGAGGAAATACTTATATTAGTACATTTGGGAGAATATGTAGATCAGTCATACCGTATGAAGGAGAAAAACAGGGATGGAGAGGGCGCCTGGGTGGCTCAGTCGGTTAAGTGCTGCCTTCGGCTCAGGTCATGATCTCAGGATCCTGGGATTGAGCCCAGCGGTGGGCTTCCTGATCAGCAGGGAGTCTGCTTCTCTCTCTCTCCCTCTTTCTCTCCCCACCGCTCATTCTCTCTCTCTCAAATAAATAAAATCTTTAAAGACAAAACAAAAAAACCCTATAGGGGTGGAAGAGAGAGAAAGCAAGGAGATAAAAAGACAGAACTATGGAAAATCTGCTTAACTTTAAAGATAAAAATAGAGGTAGTAAAGATTATTATAGACATAAAAACCGGTAGAGTCGAAAGCTCTGGTCATAGCTACCGTTCAAAGAAGTCCTTCTGGAATTTCCCTGGCAATCGGGTCACTTCATTATTGGCAGTGATATTATGGTGAGTGGAACCGCATGCAGTGAAATACCCGGAGACTCCGGGTGTAGACAGAGTGGTCTGCTTAGCTCCACCTGCAGGAGGCGTGGGCAGTGTGGGGCAGAGCAGGCTACTCAGATCACACAGGGTGACATCAAGGACTGCTGGTGGTTTATGGGCAGCCGGTTGACCAGAGCCTGTGGTCTAGAAGTAGCAAAACACTGGAGACCACCTGCCCCTCCTCTGACTCTGGGCAGGATTAAGTGTCAAGTACTAGGCAAGTCACCCCATCTCCAGGGCGTCCCTTGTCTTCCACTCTGCTCCTCTCTCCGGGGAAGAAATCAGGCAGCTGAGACTGGTGGGCACCCGGTCTCCTGTGTCCTGTGTGCATTCCGGAAGCCTGCGGTTCCCTGCTTGCCACTGCCTGTGTAGCGCCCCATCTCTACCCCACTTTCTGCCAGAAGAAGGTTGCTTTGATTGGCAGAGGGAGTAGGAATCCTGCCATCGCATGACCTCCTGTGTGACCCCAGGCATTGGCATTGGCAACTTGAAATTTAATTTCCTTACCTGAAAAATGAGGATAAAAACCTATCCTCTGTAGTATTCTTGTCTTAGAGATTATAAAGGAGAAGGACATTTTAAATTCACAGAGATTATACATGTTAATTGCCAGGAGAGGAGCTGGCTTAACGTCAGTATCCAGTCATTCTGACCTGTGAGTGGCCACACAGGGCTGTGGGGCTGGGTCTGTTCTCGGGGATGAGGCTGGGACCTGGAAATTGGGTGGGATCTGCACCCCAGCCCACCTGCCCACAGCCAGCCCCAGGTTCCTGATAAGGACTCTGGTCCTTCCCCGTGACTCTAGCACCTGAGGTCAGTTGGTGTCACCAGCGGAGGCTTCTCTTGGAGCTGGTGGTCCCCACCCCCCACCGTGAGGACCAGAGGGCTGCTGGACATCCAGCCACCGGCAAAGCCCGGCAGGGGGCTTGGGGAGAGGAGGACTTGCCACACAGAAACAAAGACAAATGAAATGCAGTTTAGGGGAGGAAAAAACAAAGCTTTTCTTCTTCTTTGGTCTGTTTTGACACAGGGCTAATTGGGGTACACTTGCTATATGCCCTTGGAATATACACAAGCATACTATTTAGAACGGAATGCTAACATAGAGGCCAGCAATAATTACCATAAGGATTGCTCCATGAGTGAGCAAGAGATAGCTGTTGTGATTTCTTACTCGAAGTGATTTCCAGTTGCATTATTTTCTGTTAGATATCACTGCACTGCCAGGCACGCCAAAAACTTAGTGGTTTTAAACCATGATTTATTCTCGATGTTTTGAGTTGCCCGGCCTCATCCAGGTCATTCGTGTACTGCTTTCTGCTGAGATTTCTGCGGAGAGGATGGATCGTTGGAGATCATGACATCAGACATGTCTGATCCTTGGTTGGGGTGGCTGGACTGCTCAAGGGAACAGCTGAGCTTCTGTCTCCAGTTGGGTGGTCCAACCTTTTATATGGTGGCTCAATTCACTGAAGGGGGGCGGGTTGAGGGGAGAAAGGAGATTCTAGGTTTCTAACAGGCTGGGCTGGGAACTGGCCCAGGGTCCCTTCCCCACATTGCATTGTTCAAGGCCAGGTGCAAGGCCAGCCCACCTTCAAGGGGAGGGGAATATACTTCACCCCTGATGAGGCGCCCTCTGCAGGTACAACAATGAAGGCAGTTTTAACAGTCGTGTTTGTATACAATTATCCAGACATGATTTCCATCACATGCATGTAGTTCCAAGTAAGCAAAAAGAAAGAAAACCAGATGTTTAGACAATGAGGTAGGATATACTGAGAAACAATGAGAAGGAGTCAAAGCACGTGGGACCTAATGATGTCTTTGACACTTACTAGTGGAGTGGTCTTGCAGGGACAAATGATTTAATTTGGCTGTTTTGTTCCATTTATCTCTAAAACAGAAATAGAGAAAGTTTGCTGTGTCTAGAGGTGCAGAATTCAGTAGTGGTGAGAACCACAGGCTCTGAGCTTTCCAGGTTCAAATCCTACTTCCAACACTTCTCTGCTCTGTGGATTTAGAAAAGTTTTTTGATTTGATGGATGGATTGATTGATTTTTGGGTTCCTTATCTGTAAAGTGGGGCTGGTAAGAGGCACCTACCTCTGGGTTTGTGTTAAGGATTGAATGAATTATGCAAGGAAATGTCTGGAAGAGTGCCTGGCACAGAGTAAGCTCACAGTACCTGTTAGCTGGAGTAAATGTCCCTATTGTGCACATGGTGGTTATTCACTTAGCAGCTCTCTGCCCCATGCCGGTCCCTGGGACACATCGCTGGGGATGGGAGGCTGCCTTGCTGCTTTGGAGGAGCTCACAGTCCTCCAAGGGAGATGGACAAGTGTTCCACGAGTCCAACAGAGGTGGATGTTGAGATGGGATCCCAAGTGAGGTCTGGAATTGGGAGCAGAGGTTGGCTCAGCAGGCAGAGGTAGGAAAGGATGATCTGGGCAGATGTAGCAAAATGACTGGGGCCTGAGCAGTGCAGGCATGAGCATAGGGCGGGAGAGATGTGGGGTGGCAGGGCCGAGGGGGGAAGAGAAACGGCGTGGCTAGGGGCCGAGTTGTGCTGACCAAGCACACAGACCTCCTTGCAGCCGGTTGGCCCAATGAAATGAGAGCGCTTCAGAGACACAAACCCAACACAGTTCAAACGTGAGATGTAGTCTCATAAATGAAGGGGCATAAAGAATTAGACATTTTTGTTCTCTTCTTCAACATATCCGTCCTCTGGTAGACACATTATGTAGAGATGGTTTCAGTTAGGCAGACGATTTAGATACTCTTTCTCAAGATGTGAAACAATTGCTCCTTGAATTTTCCAGGCTCCATGTTTATGGTTGGATTCTGTAAATAAGAGGAAACGAATAATTTCCCATGTGAAATAATTTCCCATGTGAAATAATTTCCCATTACCTGCCACCATTGCATTGTCTTTTTTCAATATGTTTTTAAAAGATGACTTGGGGAAGGTTCCTTCTGGTCTGAGTGAACTGTGTATCTCATGACTGTGAGGGGTTCTGAACTCAGAAGGGACTGTCCCCCGGGCATTCTGGAAAGATCCCAGCATTACAGAACAGACATGCATGCAGTCAGCTGACTGCACAGCCTGGGTGACAGGTGTCCCATCTTCTCTTGGAACTGGGGGCAGGGCAGAGAGGGGGCTGCTTCTCTGTGGACGTGACAACACTGGGGGGTGTTTGGCCCTGGTGTCTAGTGGGAATCTAAAGTCCACAGTGTCTTGGTCATTACCAGAAATAGAAAAGTATAAATTACAGGCGATCCCGTCATGATCCACTGAGGCCAGGATAAGTCTTGGCTGCCCCAAACTTTTTCAGATGCCTCTACAAACCAAAGTACTGGGACCTCAGAGGCGCAGAGATGAATTTTGGTCACTTAAAATGTGTAACAGGAAGAGAAACCAGAGTGAGAAATTTTAAAATGTGATTTGCTTGCCTCAGAGCCTTGCTTACCCTTTGTGGGTCTCCCAGAATGGTCGCTTCCTCTCTCCCGAGGTCAGGGTTGCGAGTAATCGACACGTCCGTGCCTGTGAATAAGTCTTACGTCTACTTAATTGTGACAATTTCCTTCCACCACGGTGGTGCTATTTCATAGATTTTGCCGTTTCTTCCTCCCTGAAGGTGTTAGAAAATGTTCCCCTGGGGTGGGGGGTGACCACTGAAGTCAGGGAGGGCAACCTCAGGCTGTTAAGAGCTGCGCACAGAAAAGGCATCCGCTTGTCACGGTTCATCAAAGCCCGAGAGAAGATAGCACAGGAAGTCTACATGGAAGCACAGGAACTATACATGGAAATGTATAAAAATTACCATGATTAGTTTTAGTACTGTTTTGAGAGGTGATTTCCATTAAGTAGAAGCATTTAAGAGTTTCATCATGTAGGGGGTGCGGGGGGAGCATTTGTTCTTTAAATGAATCAACCTAATTTCTTTTCAG